CACCCCCTCACACGCCTCTCCCGTCCACCCATTTAAGCCCCCTCCACTACCACCCTTAGTCCCAGCTATCTTCCTACCTTTCTCCCTCTCCCATCCTTTCCCAATCTTTCATCCAACTTTCACCTCTCCCATCTTCATCCGGGATCTCGCACACCCTTTCCCATACGCTTCTCTTATTCTCATTCATACTCATGCACACCTCTAATATGTGTCTCCACGTTTCTTCTTCCCCCTCACATCTTCTGCATCTTTTCTTTTCCTCCTCTACCCAAATCTTCTCCCCCCTCATCCATCCACTCATCTTGAACCTCGCCACTCTATCCCATCTTTCTTCTCCCCATTCATTTCTTAGATACCACTGTATATCCTCCGCCATCACCCCTTTATACCATCTATTGGATTCAGAGTTCCTTATCCTGTGACATCTCCCCTCCCTCTGCCGGTCTCTTTCCCTTTGCTTCACTTCCTGCCAACTCATCTCCTGTTCCACCTTCCTCCTCCCTTCCTCTCCTACGATATATCCTCTCTCTATTTTGTAACTTCTCCTTTCCTCCTCCCCTGCTGATACCCCCTTCCTCGTTACCCTCCCCTCTACCTCCTGTGGGCATAACCTTGCCATGCTGCTTCCCTCCCCCTTCTCCAGCTTGTCCTCAAAGTTCCACGCTCTCTTCACTGCCCTCATGCTCATCTTATCGCTTTTTGATTCCTCCCTTACCAGATATTCCTGTGTTGTTCTCCTCACTCCCAGCAGCCACCTCAGGTATTTTTCCTGCATCCTCTCTACCCCCTCACTCTATTTCCACCCCCATATTTCCGCCCCGTATTCCATTACCGACCGTACCAATGAATCAAAGAGCCATATTCTTTCTTTCCAGTCCTTCCCAAACCTCCTCTTAACTATTCCCCATACTGGCCCTAACACCTTCCCTGCTTTTTCCACTCTCTCCCTCACCTGTCTGTCCTGCCTCCCATTCTGTTTGAACCAATACCCCAAGTAACAGAACTCCTTCAGTTCCTCCACTTCCCTTCCCGCTAGCCTCCATTCCTCTTTTTTCCTCACCCAAGATTCACCCCCCCCCCTTTCCACTTTTCCGTCATGAACTCCTCCAGGTCTGATATTAGTACTTTGAATAAAATTGGGATCAGCGGGCACCCTTCCTCACCCCCCTGGCTGTCCAGAACTTCACCGAAACATTACCCCCCCACGCTAACCTCAGTCGCCGTTTCCTTGTAGATTTCCTTCATCCTCTCTATTAACCCCATATCTATCCCCCTCTTTTCCAACACTTCCCATAGTATTTTCCTATTCTCTGAGTCAAACACCGGTTGCTGATCCACAAAAAAGGCAAGCAGTCTCCCCCCTTTCTCCGCCAGCTGCCTGTTCGCCAAGTCGTTCAGTACGTATATATTATCCATTGTTCCCATTCCCCTCCTAAACCCCGTTTGATTATCTGGCACTATTCTCTTCCTCCTCACATTCTGTTCTATTCTCCTTGTTAGCACCATTGCATACACCTCATATAGTGTCTGTATCAACGTTACCCTCCTATATTGTTCTACTCTCTTCCCTTCCCCTTTCTCAACTACTGGAGTCAGTAAACCGTCCCTCCGTTCTTCTGGCCACCACTCCCCTCTCCATACTTTGTTACAGATCACCCATGCCACCCTTCTTATTCCTCTCCCCCTTTCCTTCCATTCCTCATTGTCAATCCCATCTTCTCCCGCCGCTTTGCCTCCGTTTAGCTTGCTTATTGCATTATCTACTTCTTCCTCTGAGATACCCTCCTCTCCCTCCTCCTTCTTCCTTCTCCTACCACCCTTGCATCTACGCCGCCTAACAGCGACATAAAGAAGGCCTTCCATTCTCCCATCCCAATTTCCTCATTTATTCCTCTCCATTTCCTTCTCTCTTTGTTTATTACTTGCCCAATTCTCCTTTCCTCTATCCACTTCCTTCTTAAACTCTAATATTTCCTCCTCCCTTTTTCTCCTACATAATCAACTATAATTTCTCTTTTTTTCCTTATAACTATCCCAGTCTCCTTCCCCTTTCCAAGCATCCCTTAGTGCTCTCCTCACTCCCTTCTTCTCCTCCCTGCAGTCACCATCCCACCAATCTTCCCATCTTTTCTTTCTTTCCCTTCCCTCCTTCTCTGTACTCTCCTTTGTCTCTGTTACTACCCTTTAAACTTCCTCCAATATCTCATTTACATCTCCTTCTTCCTCCCACTTCTTTTTTTTAGTCTTTTCCTTAACTTTTTTCTTGTTTCTNTGAATAAAATTGGGATCAGCGGGCACCCTTCCTCACCCCCCTGGCTGTCCAGAACTTCACCGAAACATTACCCCCCCACGCTAACCTCAGTCGCCGTTTCCTTGTAGATTTCCTTCATCCTCTCTATTAACCCCATATCTATCCCCCTCTTTTCCAACACTTCCCATAGTATTTTCCTATTCTCTGAGTCAAACACCGGTTGCTGATCCACAAAAAAGGCAAGCAGTCTCCCCCCTTTCTCCGCCAGCTGCCTGTTCGCCAAGTCGTTCAGTACGTATATATTATCCATTGTTCCCATTCCCCTCCTAAACCCCGTTTGATTATCTGGCACTATTCTCTTCCTCCTCACATTCTGTTCTATTCTCCTTGTTAGCACCATTGCATACACCTCATATAGTGTCTGTATCAACGTTACCCTCCTATATTGTTCTACTCTCTTCCCTTCCCCTTTCTCAACTACTGGAGTCAGTAAACCGTCCCTCCGTTCTTCTGGCCACCACTCCCCTCTCCATACTTTGTTACAGATCACCCATGCCACCCTTCTTATTCCTCTCCCCCTTTCCTTCCATTCCTCATTGTCAATCCCATCTTCTCCCGCCGCTTTGCCTCCGTTTAGCTTGCTTATTGCATTATCTACTTCTTCCTCTGAGATACCCTCCTCTCCCTCCTCCTTCTTCCTTCTCCTACCACCCTTGCATCTACGCCGCCTAACAGCGACATAAAGAAGGCCTTCCATTCTCCCATCCCAATTTCCTCATTTATTCCTCTCCATTTCCTTCTCTCTTTGTTTATTACTTGCCCAATTCTCCTTTCCTCTATCCACTTCCTTCTTAAACTCTAATATTTCCTCCTCCCTTTTTCTCCTACATAATCAACTATAATTTCTCTTTTTTTCCTTATAACTATCCCAGTCTCCTTCCCCTTTCCAAGCATCCCTTAGTGCTCTCCTCACTCCCTTCTTCTCCTCCCTGCAGTCACCATCCCACCAATCTTCCCATCTTTTCTTTCTTTCCCTTCCCTCCTTCTCTGTACTCTCCTTTGTCTCTGTTACTACCCTTTAAACTTCCTCCAATATCTCATTTACATCTCCTTCTTCCTCCCACTTCTTTTTTTTAGTCTTTTCCTTAACTTTTTTCTTGTTTCTTCCCCCCACCTCGCCACCTTAATCATCTTCTCTCCACCTTGTTTCCATCCTGTCTTCTTACTCCCCTTCTCATTCTTTTCTCTCAGTCATGCCACCAGTGGGAAGTGGTCCGAATCGCATTTTTCCCCCACTTCAAACCTAACTACCTCTTCTCTCACTCTCTCATCCGATAATACGTAGTCAATTACTGACCTACTTTTCCCTATCCACGTGTATTCCCCTTGCTCATCCCCTCCGCAGCTACCATTTAATATTATCCATCCCGCCTCCTCTAGGGCTTTCACCACCATCGTTTCCCCTTGATTTATTTTTCCATCTTTAGATGCCCTATTCTCCCCTCCTCTCTCTGCATTTTCTACGTCCCAGCACCCCTGGCTTCCTGTTCTTACATGTAAATCTCCCCTATCATTACCATTTCCTCCCCTCTTTCTTTCATCGCCCTTGTCATCTTTTCCATCTTGTTCTGAAGATCCTCATTCATATACACCACGTATATCCTTCAATTTCTCACCCCTATCTTTATTTTTCCCTCTATCTCTCTATTCCGCACCGCCCGGTCTCACACCACTCCTTTCTCACCCCCACCAGCATCCCTCTCATCCATCTTCCTTTCCTATTCCTTTTCGTTGCTACTTGCATTTTCTATCTAAATTCCTTTGGTAACCTGCATTTTATCCTCTCCCATCCTTTCTCATCCAACCACGTTTCCATTATCACTACCATATCCCAATCCTTCAGCTTTTCCAAAAAATCCCTATCATTCGCTTTTAAACCTGCCACATTCCAGAATACGATTCTGTTCACGTCTCCACCCCCTCGCTCTCTTCCGTCCCCTGCTTCCCCCTGCTCTTTCTACCCTATCCTCCCCTACTACCGCATCATTCATTCTCCCAGCTCGATTTCCATCGCCTCCTCTCTTCCTTTCCTACCTGATCCTCCTCTTCTCCCCCTCTCTCACTCTTGCGTCTGTTCCTCCTCCTCTTTCCATTCCTGTCCACTTTCATTTCTTAGTTTCCAAAACATTTCATCCCACGCCCATAGCACTCTGTTTATCCATACGCTCCCTCTTCCTAGTTTTGCCTCTTTTCCTCTCTCCCTTTCCTCTCCTGCTACGCTGGTCAATTCCCAATGGATTCCCCTCTCTGTTCATGTCAGATCGTTATCTATAATCTCCTTTCTTCCCCTCAAGCTACTGTTGTTTCCCATCACCCTCTATTCCTGTGCTTCCTCCCTCAGACCTATCAATACCGATTCCCTTCGCTCCCTGTCCTTCTTACCAATTTTCCTCACCCATTCCATGTCCACTTCTACTCCTAACACTTCCTTCAGTATCTGAGCCACCTCTCTCCTTCCATCGCTATTTTCCATTTTTATCCTTCTTATTACTATATTTTTCTTTCTCTTATCCCTCTGCTCTCTTTCCTCTCTCCATTCTAGTTCCCATACTCTCTTTTCCAACCTCTCTTTTTCTTCATGCTTTTCCTTTTGTCCCCCTCCTCTCCCTGCCCCCTCGACTGCTGACGGTTTTTCTCTTTTTATTCTTAGCTGCTCCAACGTCTCTTCCAGTTAATCTACCTTGCTTACCTTCCCTTCTAACTCCACTAATCTCTTCCTAACATCCCCTGCTTCGTTCTTCCTCTCTTTACCCGCGCTCTCTACCTTGTCCATTCGCCCTGGAGAATTTCCTTTCCTACTCTTCTTCTCCTCCATCACCCCCTCCTCTTCCTCGCTCTCACCCACTCTCTTCCTCTTTTCTCAATCCTCTTCCCCTGTTCATTCTCCTGATTTAACGTTTCTTTTCCCTTTCTTCCATAGCTCTTGTACTGAGCTCATCGCCTTCTGCATCTTCACTGGACACCTACTGCTGCCAGCAATGTGGACACAGTCTTCCGTGTTGGCTTTCTCAGTGTACACGGCGCATCGGGGTTTGTCTTTGCACTCTGAAGCCTTGTGCCCGGTAGCTGAACATTTGATGCAGTGCTTAGACCGGTCGACTGCACTTGTACACTTCGTGCCGAGATATCCATAGTGCCAGCACTTGAAGCACTTTATCGGTCTCTCAACCTTCCTGATACGGCAATAGACCCAGTCTATCTTGATTTTCCCGTGCTCTCCCAGGATCTTCTTCTCAGCAGCTGCCGCGAGTGTCACTGAGGCAGTCTGGGTTCCTCCATATGCCTTACGCAGAGACTTGATGGCCTCAGGAGCTATTTTGAGCTCCTCCCCGGCTACAGTCTGTATGGCCTTGAGGATATCCTCCTTCGATGTGATCTCATCAAAATCCTTTATCTCCAGATCCTCCTGTGGCCCCTTACTGAATACCTCGGCTTCATCTCCAAGGAGACTGGCGATGGTTCTACGCAGTTGAGGAATTCTATCGACGGTCTTCCTGGTCAAGATGATCAACATATCCCGGTCGCTGTCCGGCGGATTTTATCGATGCAATCTTGAGCTTCCTCTGCAGGAACATCCTTCTTTACTCGGCGGAGAATATCAGGGTATTGCTCCTTGTCCTTGGGTCGGACAGTCAGGGCATCAGGTCTGGGCGCTGGTTTCTAACGGATCGTCTTCTGCTTCTTGGGCGCTTTCTTCTCGGAAAGTGGCTTTTGGAGCAGCTTCTCATCTCGTTTCTTCTTCTCTCTCTTAGACTCGATCAGCTTTCAGTCGGACCCATCCACCAGTCCCTTCTCCTGCGGGGCTGTCTTGCTGGTCGGAGCCTGTTGCTTCAGTTTCTTCAGTTTTTGAGTTTCTGCTGCAGGTAAGACTTTCGAGCGCTTTCTCCGCATTGCATTCCGGACATCTCTCGTCTCGAGATCTCGAGTTGACTGCGTGGTACTCGAATCCTCTACTTCCGAGACTTTGACCGAGTCACTGCCGATAGATGCCACTTTGGATTTGATCTCCTTGTGGGCATTAATCTTGGGCTGAACAAACTCATGTGACTCTGTAATGAGCTGTCCAAGTTGTTCCCAAGCGTGACGGCATACTTCCTCCTGTTGAGTGTGTGACTCTACCCCACTTGTCGGATTTGAGGCCAAGTGATCCGCCTGGAAAGAAAGTGATGATTGGCTCCTCCCACAAGCTGTGGAGCCAGCATCAGCCACCGGGGCTTGCACCCGATCGAAACCGATGGCAGGATTTTCCTTATCAGGGATATCCGCGTGGAAACTTTGTATTTTGTCATCACTCATCATAATTATTCTAGGCTAGTAAAGGGAACCCTTCCTATTCTCTTTATTGTTAGCTATTCTAGGGAGCCCACCCTGCACAACTCTTTTAGAGTTAGGTTTCTCCTCCAAGATATCTTAAGAAGGACAAGCTTCGGCTTGAACTGCTTCTTAGTTTGGGATGCATCCCTAAGCCCCTCCACCAACGACAAGGTCCTGAAGTTCCCAGGAGGAGAAGTCTATCTGTGTACGTCTGTGGCTGTGTGTGTGTGTGTGTGGACGTATTTGACGCAAAAATTTTTGGGTCACGATTTCTTTTGACCGCACGACGCAATTGAATTTTTTTTTATCGATGCATCTTGATGTAACTTGGAACTGATTGGTTTGTAAAGATGACCGCTTCAGTAGATTTTAGTTACTCGTAGAAAACATATGGCAAAACGTCAAAAATAATGTTTTTTTCACCAATTCTACGATTTCTTCTAGAGTAATCATGCGATTTGAATTTTTCTTCATGAAATCGATGCGTCTTTATATCGAGTAATTACGACTGAAATGAAAACGAAATCGTCTCAGGAGTTATTTAATTATTTTGAAAATTGCTATTTCCGGATTTTTTAAAATTTATTTTTCACTTGAAATCCCTGCAATTCGTAAAAATGAAAACACTGAAAGTTGATGGAATAGAATAAAGAAAAAAAAATCAACAAATGTTAATACCCCATTTTAACACCTTTCCATTTCAAAAAAAGTTTATCATGAGAATGGTTTTTTCCTCTTGCAATCGAAGTTTTTTGAAATAGAATTGCAACGGATCCATTTGGGAGCGTACTACCAATGGAATTGTTAAAAATGAAGGAATGTCAAAACTAATAACGCGTAAAGTAACGGTCACGTGCCTTCTGTCGGATAGGCTCGGCCCCCTGCTTGTTTTTCTAATGAACAGAAAAAGAGGAATCGGTCAGGAAGTTATTGGGTCGACCCATAATGGGTCACACCCAATTCCACCAATCCCTACCCGCCACACCCCAATGGGTGAGCGAGCGAAGTATGCGACCGGGCCTGATTTTTTGGAAATGTTTTTTTTAAACTGAATTTCTTCCTAACAATGATTGAGAAGCAATTTAATTTTTCGAAAAACTTTCAAACAAAATGCAATCATCTTAGTTTACTAATAGACACAGAAATGGCGAGAGCTGGGGTGATAGCACAGTGAAGGATCTCGCTGCACTCTCCCCTTTTTATAAATGACGACAGCTCGAGGGATAGCCCAGCGAAGGGTCTCCCCTAGTGGAAAAACCTAAGGCAGAGGCGTAACATGCCTGATCAGAATTTCGGATCGGACTTGATCAGTTTCTGATCGAGACCTGAACAGAATTTCCACTCGGGTATGAGTCAATTTGAGAGTGAAATTCGTAAGTGTCCTGGTAGCTCAGATGGTAAGAGCACCCGACGCGATGTTGGGAGGTCCCGGGTTCGATTCTCGGTTAGGAAGTTACTAATTTTTTCTCTCAAAAAATTAAATTTAATTAATGCCTAATGATGGAAGGCGGAGAAACCCTAGTGGAAAAACCTAAGGCAGAGGCGTAACATGCCTGATCAGAATTTCGGATCGGACTTGATCAGTTTCTGATCGAGACCTGAACAGAATTTCCACTCGCGTCGCTTCACTCTCGCCTCTCTATAAATTTGTCGTAAATTAGTAAGCTAGCATAAGTGCATTTTTTCCGAAAATCATCTGACCTCAGAAAGCAAAAGTTGGCGCTGTGAAATTGCAATGTGCCTACTGACCAGTTTCAAACAAAAAGACTTTTTACATAAAATTGTGACTGGGGATTAAAAATGGATATTTTACGACAATTCTAAGAGGCGAAAGTCATGGGTTTTGCAAAACCAAACATTCACGGGAATAAATTGTTGCTGTGTATTTGGTGGGATTCCAAAGGTGTAATCTATTATGAGATACTCGAACAGGGGGAAACCGTCACTGCTAGGCGTTATCAGGACCAACTGGTGAAACTGAGTGATGCAATTGAGGAAAAGAGACCTTTTACTGGTAGTGGTACGAGGCAAGTGCTTTTGTTGCAGAACAATGCGCGGCCACACACGGCAAAAGAAACCTTGAAAGTTATCTCTACGTTGGGCTGGGAAATTCTCCCACATGTCGCGTATTCTCCAGACCTTGCGCCTTCTGACTATCACCTTTTTCGGGCGCCATAACATGTGGATACCCAGTTTCGATCTCCGGAAGAAGTCCGGCAGAGCATTGATGACTTCATCCAGTCAAAACCACCATCTTTCTTCCGAGCCGGAATTCGACAATTGCCCGATACATGGGAGAAATGCATGCAAAGTGACGGTGATTATTTTCAAGACTAGATCTGTATTCATTTTTTTATGAATAAATGTCAGAATTGTCGAAAAAAGGCCGAGAATTAATTTATACACCTAATATTATGTTGGAGGAACTTCCAACTGACAAACTAGTCTTGATTGCCGAAGACTCAGTGGATTGTCATCACCCCCGCCTGCGGGTAACCGCTATGAAAATGCTTGAGAACACTGAGAAAAATGACCATCCATATACCGGTTTAGCAAAGATCATAAACATCAAAATAAGTGCCAAGGTTATGGTAAGACGCAATATTGATGTTACCATTGATCTGGTAAACAGTACGATTGGGGTTGTGATGTCCGTTGCCAAATGCGTTGATAAAGCTATGGAACATATCAAGTCTATAACCATACGTCTAGCATCTGGAAAAAAAATGAAATTGAGCGGATGGACGTGAAATTTAAAATTATGAATGAAACTTATAGTACAAGATGACAGTTCCCAATTTCTCTGAGTTATGGAATTACCATTCATAAAAGTCAAGGATTGTTCTTTCAAGACTAACGACGTTGGAGGGAGTTCACTTGATCAATTTATATCCGTCATTCGTGAAAGCCTCTACGGTAGCAATTGAAGAATACAATACTTCGTGCAGAATTCAGACCTGATTTAGCCCGAATCTCTCCACTTCATAAATATTGACCAAAAGAATGGGATACCTAATGAGCTTTGAAACTGATTCTATTAACGAGACGAATGTTAACATGAAGAAACACAATGTTAAGACATCTGTTATCGGTCTGTATAATTTTGAGGGCCACTGTAATCATGCAAACGCGGTGATTTAATGCATCTTTCGCTGGTCCCTTGCATGTAAAGTAATACTGGAAAGCTCTGGAGAAGAGCTTGCAGTCGTACATGATTTTCACCAAATTGATAAATGGACTAGAAATTGTACTGCTAATGTGATAAGGCAGTTGGTAGGAGAGCTGTCGAACAGTAACAATGAACAGGATCCAGTCATATTTTTGGAGCATATATGTAACAAAGTTGGACAATTGTAAAAACTTGTCGAACATGTGCTCATTCATCTCGATCGATGTAAGGCATGTAATTATAAGAAAATTTATAATGAGAACAATTTCATAATGACTTCATCAGTGAAAGACATTAAGCAAGCGAAGACTTTAAATGAGTTGATCACAAAG